CAGGGCCAGGCATCCTAGCTCAGTAGGTTAAATGTCAACTACAGCATCCGTATACAACATGGGTGGTGCTTTATGTCCTGGCTGCTGAAGTGTCAATCCAAGTGCCTGCTAATGGCAGGGCAAAACCAATGGAAGATGTCCCATGTGTAAGGACCCAAGAAAAGCTCCAGGCCACCTGGTTTGGCCTGATACAACCCTGATTACTGAAGCCATTTGGGAGTGAAAAGAGGATAGAAGATCAATCTCTTTCTTTAGCGTTTTTTCTCTCTCTCTCCTATCTCTCCGTAACTCTGATTTTTCAAATGAATAAATTATAAAAGAAAGTTCTAAAGAAATGTTATCAAGTTCATTTTGTCATTGCTATTTTTATAGGGTCATAGGGGAGAATTCTTTAATAAAAAGCTCAGCTGTTAAGACCCCCACATCCCATATCAGGAAGGCTGTGTTTGAGTCCCCATACTGGTTCCAATCTTGCTTCCTCATAATTTATACACTGAGAGATAACAGATGACTGTTCAAGTGGGTAGGACCATGATACGAATAACTGGAGCCCTCTATGGAATTCTGAGCTCCTGGCCTTGTCCTAGCCCAGTACCAGCTGCATGGAAAATTTCTCTCTCCTTTTAAATAAATAAAGACAAATAAATTTTAAAATAAAGCACATGTGATATATAAATATGATCACAAAATGATATCAGACAAATATGATACATAATCATATATTTAAACCATAGCTCCATATGACACAATGTGTATGAGAAATATATAAAATACAGTAAATAATTTTCCATCAAATATTTTCCTTATAATTTATTTATTTATTATAAAAGAACTTATCATTTGCCAGATTTTAAACCCTTTCTACTTCTTTAGCCTCTACCAACCTCCTGATCTCTCTCTTTTTTTAAAGATTTATTTTATTTTTATTGGAAAGGCAGATATACAAAAAGGAGAGACAGAGAGGAAGATCTTCCGTCCGATGATTCACTCCGCAAGTGAGTGCAACGGCCGATGCTATGCCGACCCGAAGCCAGGAGCCTCTTCTGGGTCTCCCACACAGGTACAGGGTCCCAAAGCTTTGGGCCGTCCTGGACTGCTTTCCCGGGCCACAGTTTGGGAAGCAGGGCCGCCGGGATTAGAACCAGCGCCCATATGGGATCCTGGGCAAGGCAAGGACCTCAACCACTGCCCCACCGCACCGGGACCTCAACCTCCTGATCTCTTTTAGGGTTTCTTGAAGTTGACAAGAATGAGGAAATCATGCAGAAGACAAACAGTTGGAAGAAGCAACAGAGTTACTGGTTAGCATTAGTCCATCATGGCATGGCCACGATCGAGTACCTGGCTACCCATATACACAACCAGATACACTAGTTTTACCAGGCCCAATGGCCACAAACCAATCACCACTGTCTCCTCACTGAGCCTCCTGTTTTGTTCTTCTCATTTGCTTCCTCTCACCAACCTAGCTAAGAAAGCCAGTCAGAAACAGTATGTTTGCAAATAATGTATCCATGCCTAAAGTTCCCTAATGTTTGCATTTGTTCAATTGAATACTCTGAAATGTAAAGTCATGAAGTAGACATTTTTCCTTGTTGATCTATATCACTGTAGCAATAGGAAGCTGTAAAGAGTAAGGAATAAATTCATGAATAAATTAACTGCAGGTATAATTTGAAAATGAAGAAACAGATGTATTAATAAACACTGAAATATCATGATTGGAAGTATCATAACACTAGGCAATTTACTGCTATAGTTTAAGTCTGGGTATTAAAGGTTTGATCCCCATTCTGGCACACAATATGGGGAGGGCTTGTGTCACTAAGATACTTTTTGTGTTACCCTTGAGTACCAGTGAGTCCTATCAGTTCTTCCACAGCTCTCGCTTGTGTTCTTGCTGTGATGTGATGTTATCCACCACTCCTCTTAGATGGCAAACGAATGGGACTGTCGAATATGAGGCTTTGAACCCCCCAGCTGAAAGCTAGATAAATCTCTTCTGTAGAAAATTATCTACTTAAAGATTTCACTGTAGAAATGAAAAACAGATTAATGAACTTGCTGTATAGGGTGAGCAAGAAGTAATATTACTGTATAACACTTATGCTCATGCACACTTATTTAACACTGTAGGTAAGACGCGTATTTACTTTCAAATACAAGTAATGAAATTTCAGTAACAGTCCTGAGCGCTTTTAGAGCTGAATGAATGAAAGCAATAAAGAGAAATCAATCAACTAAATATTGAAGCGAAGGTGATAATGGAAACTGGAGCAAGGTATATTAAAAGAGATTAAGATGCAGAATGGATGACTGATTAAGACAGAATGGAAGAATGAGATGAAGCAGAGGGTTAGGAAATGGCGCAGCACGATTATTTCACCTACCTGCAAGAGGGGATTTTGGAAACTAGACTTCCTATATAGTCCAAGTATGCCAAGAGTTCAAGTAGTGTTTTTAGAGACAAGACTCGAGGCTACTTAGTGAGTCAAGGCACTGGTGATGTGCAAGATACTTTTGCTGTTGTTGTTTTGATGGAATATAGGGGGCAAAGTCAAGGTTTGTGAATGCGTAAGAGGGTGGATGGTGTGCGACAGAGCGTGAACCTGCTGTTGGGATACTAACATCCAGTACTGGAGACTGGGTCAGGTCTCAGCCACTGTGCTTCTGAGCCATGTTTGTACTAATGTGCCATTGAAACAGCAGGTGATGCTTCAAGGATGAGTTCCTGCCACCCATGTGGGAAACCCAAATGGAGTCTCTAGTTCTTGGTAGTAGCCTGGCTCATTTTTGAATGATGCAGGCATTATGGGAGTGAATTGGTTCATGTAAGCTTCTCTCTGCTTCTCTCTCTGTCTTTGAATTCCTCCTTTTCGCCCTCCCTCCCTTTCAAAAATATTATATTTTCTTTAAAAAGGAACAATAGGAAATAAACAATAAGGAGCACAGGATGTCTTCTAGTCTTTCAGAAACTCTAATAGCATGATGGAAAGAAATGTAATGATAATTTGAATTGCTGTGATATCCTTACAGGTATTTTATTTTTAATTTACTTTTAGTTTTAAAATACTGAAGAACTGAGAATCAAATATATTTAAATAGAAAATAATGGGAAGAAGTGACAAACCTACCAACAGGTGATGCATGGGATGAATCAACGTACTTGATGATAAACATCTGAGAGCTGCAAAAACAGAATAGGAAAGGGAAGACTTCAGTGTCTAGAAAAGAAGAACAAATAATTGTATGATGAAAACAGAAAGAAATAGAGAAAAACAAGATGCCTTGTTCCACTAGAAGAGAATTTTTGAGCATTATATCAAATAGAACTTTTTAAAAATAATCATTATTAGATAGCTTTAATGGTAATAACTTTATCTGTGTCAAAAGATTGCCAGTTAGATGTGAATCAAAATATACAACAATCATAGTCTTCCCATGATGTAATGGAAATACAGTAAAAGTTCTAATGACATTTACAAAATCTGTCAGAAACCCAGAGTACCCCTTTTGAGCTTTTGATTATCTTAGTATTTTAATATTATAATTACAACATGTCAGTACTCTATTTAAAATGTAATTATCAAAGCTCAGAGAAAACTGATTCTTATGCATCCAAAATTTCATACAATATAATTTTGGAACTTGAGCTATTTTTATGTGATCATTTTAGTCAAAGAAACAGCCAAAAGCTAAGAGACTCATAGTTTTTATTCCATAGGTTTTTAAAGACAAACTTTGCTTTCAGAGTATCCTTGTCATTGAGTTCATATTTATCTGAAATGAACCAAATTGCTTTAGGAAGGATGAAAAAGTTCATGTGTTTTTCATAAACATTTTGCCCATAAAATTTTTCCTTCCAAGAAAATGCACTTCATCAATTCACTCACAAGTCATTTTTTCCTAAAAAAATAATGAGGACATTTTTAATTACAAGGGTTGATGGATTCTTTTTGATTCCACTGGAGTGTCTGATAAATGTTACTTCAGAGACCTACTCCAACCATTATATTTTAAAAACGTGTCAAAAAATATAGGCTTCTTGGCAAGTGGAGTTCTGTATTTTTTGAAATTTGGAATTGTATAGATCTTCCCTCCCTTCCGCTATCCTCCATCCTTCCTTTCTTCGTCTTTTTTGTTTCCTTCCCTCTTTCAGTACATATTACTTTGCACACTAAGTACTAGGTATCATGGAATTTGAAAACAAATTACTAATTATTCCTGCTTTTGAAATGTATACAATTAGGAAATGGAAGATTCCTACTCTTTTTAAAAAATTTATTATTTTTAATTTAATAATATAATTCCATAGGCTCTGGGATTTCTCCTCCCCCCTCCTCAAATCCCACACCCACATTCTCCCTACTGATTTCCCCTGTATCATTACAATAGTATAATCTTTCAAAAATAGTCATAAGTCCATCATTCTACTATTTAAGTGAATCCTGACATTGTAGGTTTGGACAATGGCAGAGAGTCCAGCATCCTATTGTCAAGATATATTTAACACCCCTTTAAAAAAAGATTTATTTTACTTATTTCAAAAGTCAGATATACAGACAGAAGGAGAGACAGAAAGGAAACTCTTCTGTCTGCTGATTCACTCTCCAAGTAGCACCAATGGCCAGAGCTGAGCTAATCCAAAGCCAGGAACCAGGAGCTTCTTCTGGGTCTCCCACACAGGTGCAGGGTCCCAAGGCTTTGGGCCGTCCTCGACTGTTTTCCCAGGCCACAAGCAGGGAGCTGGATGGGAGGTGGGGCTGCTGGGAATAGAACCAGCACCCATACAGAATACTGGTGCTTTCAAGGCAAGGACATTAGCAGCTAGGCTACCTTGCCAGGCCCTTAACACTCCTTTTAAAAATCTGATTTGTTTATTTGAAAGACAGAGCAATAAAAAGAGGCAGAAAAGAGATTTTCTTTATATTGGTTCATACCTCAAATGCCTGCAACAGCCAGAAAAAGGCCACTAGGAGATTGCAACTAGGAGTCAGTGTCTCCTGTATGTGTGGCAGGGAAACAAGTACTTGTGCTGTTACCTTAGGCCCATTATTCTCATTATTAGATATCAGGATTGGAACTAGAGACAGGAATTGAAGCTAGGCATTGTGGCCACATCAAGCAGCAACTTAACTTGTTGCATCACAACACCCACCCAAGGTTTTGACTGCAAGCATTTTTATTTTTATTTTATTTATTTTTGCACAATTATGTGAATTCACCAGAAATATTTTAGTGGTTGCATTCCTTGGCCTGTTGCCTAACCATGTCATCAAATCTTTGAAACAGGTAGAGTCTCAAATCTTCACAGTGACCTGAATTGGGTCACTAAATACCATATGGTTAAATATTTTCCAACGTATGTAAGAATTACATGTAACAATGACAAGGGGAAGCTTAAATATTGGGTTCCTTGGCCAACTGTCTATTTCATTTATCCTTGAAAGGGGTATAGAGTCCCAAATGTGATAGCTACAGTCGTTCCAAATGTAATATCTTCAAGACAATGAAATCAGATTGCAGGTAGCTAACTTCATTAGTCCAGGGGTTTCTTCTCTCTTCCTGGGATCTTCTGTATAGAGCACGTCTCGTTGCTGGCCCCAGCACACTCTGACAAGCAGTGTTTGACAAGTGGAGAACTGAGAGCCAGGTGGTGATTAACACACAGTCAAGTGCAGCAGAGGGACAGGTGGCACCATCTTTGGTGTCAGCGCTTTTCCTTGAAGTACCCCTTCTTCACCAAGACACTCCAGGGAAAAGCAGGGTGAGGATGGGAACTCAGGACAAAGAACGTGATGAAGGGAGTGCTGGAAAAGGTGGAAGAAACGGTGGGGGCGAAGATGTGTGACAGATTATCCAAAGTGACGTCAGATGGCATTGACCATCTCTAGTAAGGACAGAAGAAATCCAAGAACTACACCAGTTGGCAGCAAATTCTTTGGAATTTATACTTTCTGTTGTGTATACTAACAACCAGTTTCATAATTATAACACTTCAATGTTAGCATTAAAATTAGTAAATGATTTTCCATTTGAAACAGAATGTATGAAGGAAAGTTATTTTAGACCCTCCTATAGGAGAAATTATTCAACTAAAGAAGCGTTATCTTATTTCCTCTAAGAGTTGCTGAAGACTTTGAAGTTAAATCTACCAATGGTTTAAAATGGAATAACAGTAAATCCTAAATACATTTGATTTTCAAAGAATGTCAACCTGAGAGTCACAAATAAATATCAGTATGAAAGTGGAAAACATGGTCTAAATTTATTTAATCCCTGAGCTCCGCAGAGGATTATTCATCTTCCCACTTGTCATGCTTAATTGAATTGGGTCTACTAGGCCACTTACAAAGGGTCTGAGTCATCGACGCACAGATAAAATTGCTACGGGGTATGGGAGGCCTGATTTGTACATTTTACCATTTTCTGGATATAAATACATTTGCCATCACTGAATTCAAAGCCCTCAGGGTTCAATAAGTTCTTCACAAACTTCTAGAACAACTGCCTCCAGCACACAATTGGCTCCAGCTTTGGGAAACATCTGGCCCACATGCCATAAAAGCCCAGTGAAATCATTTTGACTGGCCTTGTAAAGGCTACCAAAGGCAAGATTTAATACTCAATAAATCTTTTGCAGGCTAAATTGATAATAATGTGTGGTCCATGGATGATGTTATAAATATCCAAATGGGATTTGGCAGGATGAAAGGTTACCCACACCTGCTTTATTCCCTTCTCAACTAAGACAGGGCTCAGAAGAGTGGCAATGTGACAAACATTTGTTGAATTCTATCCAAGGAAATTCTAAAACAATTCTTAAGAAAATTTTGCCTTTTCCAATTTCTCTATGGTTTTATCTCATGACATCAGCTGAAGGAACTTTGCTTTTTCCAGTCCTTTTTCCATAGCCTGTGAAAAGTGAGGAGGTGGAAGCTTAAGGAAATAGGATCCCAAGTCCCACATCACAAATTTCATGGACATTAACAAATGTAGTAGATTTCAAAGGTTACTTTGAGGGTTAATTCAGGTTTATCTTGTATCATTTATCTCAAAGAGAAAGTAGAAAGCCATATAATTGGATCATCTCAGTATTCACTCTGACTAATAATTTTATAACAGAATGCAAACCACTGAGATGTTTTTGTCACAGAGATGTTTATATAACATTTTGAGTGACTTCAATATGCTAATACCATTAAACTTTTTATGTTTGCTATCACTTATTTTACAAGTGAAACATTCACCAAAAGACTAAGGGGAACCGCTTGTGCAATGGCAGCGTAATTAAGATTAGAATCCTTGCTTGGTTCCATTGGAAGTCTTTGCTTATATGGTGAAAAGCGAGAACTGACAGCAGTGCGGGAGGGGGCTTGACAGGGTTACACACAGCATCGGTCTACGCTTGTGTAGAGCAGAGTGCTCCGAGCACCTCCGTACTGCTCAGGGTCCACCGAATTTGCTGGGATTCTAAATATGTCAAGGTGCAGAGGTAAGAGAATTCATACATCATCTCTAGAAGTCATGGGAGAAGTACTAAGAAAAGTGTTGGGATGGGAGCTGAAGAGGGTGGTTGACAGAGGCCAGGTGCTCTGGGGAACCACAATGAAAAATACATGGAGGATGAAACAGCGCTCTGATGAATAACAAATCAAGAGGAAATAACGCTTAGAAGTTTTTTTTTTTTAAGGTAGTTTGGGTGTGTTTTGGCAGAAGTTATTCTCTCCACACCTCCCCCTTTGCTGCTTATTTAAGAGACCTCAGGAAATCTCTTCACTAATTATTTTTCAAGACTTTGAAATGAAGAGGATGTTTACGTTCAGATGCATCCCCTTCGCTAAGACTTGACTACGTGCAGCTCCACTTTAATCTGTTGATTACTAATCAGAAAGAAAAACAGGATTGCAAATGCAAGGTAGGGACACTTTTATGTCCTGTAGGAGTAAGCTGTAAGCTGCCTGATGCCAGCCACCTCCATGGCGTCCCCTGTGCTTTAAAAACATAAACGTTGTATATTTTTCAGACATTTCATTTTAAACACAAAGGATTTTCATGAAACTTCAAAGCATAGTACTTTGGCCATTGTACTACAGCTGTATCTTTGACGTATGATTAAAAATTATATATATATTCTTCTTTCTACCTGAACAACAGCACTATTTTCCTATTCAAGGAAAAAAAAAGTCGTTTATCTTTTGTTTTATATTCTGCTAATGGTGCATTTCATTTAACCATTTTTTCCCTGCTTGCTAGTTCTTGGAGAATTTGGTTATTTATCGACTAGAAATTCAGGCACTCATGTCAAAAAAGGAACCTAGCCAAGTTTCCTCAAATATTAAAATTTATAGGCCTGAATTTGTTGAATGCCCCGTCAGATACACACCGGCTTTTGTGAAAACATATTTTTGGATCTCTTTTGGAATTATATGATTGTATGCAATATTATATTTTCAAGAAATTGGTTTAAAATTGCGAAGCATTTCCAAAGCGGCACGTTTCAGTTCGCAGACATTTAGAAATGTAAACAGAGCTTTGGAGCCAAGAAGCCCGTGATTTATCAAGCAGACAGTGTAGGCTTGTGTTCTTCGGTCCTGATGGCTTACCTTCCCCTGAGCCCCGCCTGGCTGTGTCTGCAGGCCTGGCTCATTGAAGCCAGCAGGCTGCACTTAGGTATCTTACCATCTGGCAATTGTTGTCAGCATCTTGAACTATGTTGTTTGTATTTCCTCATGCTTCTCGGTGGGTGCTGCAGTCTGGTCTAGAACTCTGCCTGTTCTAACTCCTATATGTTAATGGAGGTATGTCTGCTTGATGTAGGGGTGTGTGCTCCAGAGCTCCTACCAGGTAAACTCCTAATCCCAGCTCCTGAGAATGCTGTTGGGTGCCTTGGTGTGGCCTGATTTATCCCCAGCCCTAGCTCTCATGTGTACCAGTCATTATAGTAGCCCCGTAAGTAAGATCCATTGAACCCCTACTAGGTCATTTCGCAGATTTAACTCTCATGTGTACCAACAGGTGCAACATGCTAGCCACGCCCATCCACAGCCCTGGCCCTTGTATGTACCAGTGAGTGCAGTGGCCCAACCTGGCTGAACTCTATGCCTGCATCCTGCTCTCAACAGTGGCTACCCTGGCTTGGTTGAGGCAACAGTCTTGAAGACCTACCAGGCCAGCATCCAAACCCAGCTCTCATGGGTCATGGTGGGTACAACATCTAGCTCTAGGCCTGGCCTAGGGGTGCAGCTACCTAGTCCAGGGCAGCAAGGTGGGAGTCTATGAACTCCTATCAAGTCTATCTCCAGACCTGGCACCTGTACAGTGGTGATTGCAGCAATGATCCAACAACACATCCTCCGCCCTGCCCCTGCTCTAGCCTTCATGCGTTAACATGGGTGTGGCACCCTGGCCTTGCCCCACTTTCACCGACCTCATGTGCACTGGTGGATGCAACAGGTCACCCTCGGTAGATTCTCCAAGCACCCTCACCTGACTGACCTCTATGCCTAGCTCCCCTATGCATCAGCAGATTTAGTATCAGAGCCTTGGGAGACCTCCTGAGCTGCCCTACCTGTTCCGTAATTACTGTACCAACTCTCCTACCCACAAGCAGGTGCAGCGGTCTGTGGAAGACCTTAACAGCCATTTTATACTCCTGTAATAGCCCCACAGGCCCCCTCTGGCCTGTCACTAGTTTGGTGCGTTCCCAGTGGCAGGGTGGAGGTCTCACAGACCACAGGCCTTACCCAGCAGAGTGAACCCAATATCAGCTTTCAATAGTACCATATCATGAGGCATATACTGATGGATTTTATTACAAATGTGTTAGTATGTCAGAAATAAATCATGAGACATTTGGAAACCTAATAATAAAACTGAAAACCCAAAATTGGAGCAGCAAAACAAACCAAATTTAAGAGTTATTTTGAGGCTTTTAAATTTTCAGAATTTTATTCTTGAGATATCTGGACTGTGGTGACAAATACAAAATAAAAATTTTAGCGATACATTTGTTTCTTGTAGTTCTGATAAATTTGATGTTAGCTCATGAATCAAATCTTTCAAATAGGCACATTCAGGTATTTCTAAAAGAAAATAAAATATGCATAAATTTATGTTAGAGTTTTTCTCTTATCAAGACATTCCCCTTCATGAGTTCAATGTTTTACAGATGTCATATCAGCTTATATTTCCAAAGCTTCTGAGTTTAGGCATACTTCCTTACATGCCTTTCAATGCTTATTCAAATTATGTAAATTGCTTATTTACTATATGCCAATCCTGTGCTGCATTTTTTAATGACATTGCTATCCATGATTGAAGATACATTAATATGCTTCCATGAACTCCACTGTACATCAGTGGGGGAACAATAACATAGAACAAATAAGTAACTTTAATTGAAAAATGAGTGATGAAAAGTAGTTGAATATGGAGCTATCTCCATCCACCATGGTTCCTACAATATCACAATACTGATGCTATGGCACACGAGAGGAAAGCTGGAGTAGGTGCTGAGGGACAGTTCATTACACCTGCTGCAAATCATGAGGATGTATATGCATTTGGAACAATATGACAAATACAAAGAAATAGCAAGAAACAAGGTTGGAAAGATAACCAGGAGTTGATTGGTAAGAATTTAGATTATATTTTAAATGTAATAAGAGGCCATTGACAGAGTATTTCCTGATGTATGCTTTTAAAGAATCATTCTGATTGCATCTGAGTAACAGACTCACAGGGGCAGAAATAGAAACAAAACAACCAGCTGGTAAATTACTGTAGTAGTGTTCTAGATTTAGGTATAAGTTAATCGAGCTGTAGCCCTGTCTTAGATGACCTGCCCCCAGTCTTAGCATGCACCGCAGGTGCCACAGCCTATCCCAGCCTGGCCCACTCCCAAAACCAGCTGTAAATCTGACTTTCAAGTAAAAATTAAATTTTTTGAAAAAAAGAACATTCTGTAGCCTGCAAACATGTATAATTTAAAAAGTTAATCATAAAATTAAATGTAATATATATATTTATAAACATCTTTTTTATTAAAAGAAGATTTATTTTTAGTGGAAAGGCAGATTTACAATAAGAAGGAGAGGCAGAGAAATAGATCTTCCATTTGTTGGTTATTCCCCAAATGGACACAACAGGCAGAGCAGAGCTGATCTGAAGCCAGGAGCCAGGAGTCAGGAACCTCTTCCTTAGGCCATGCCCCATCGCTTTTCTAGGCCACAAGCAGAGAGCTGGGTGGGAAGTGGAGCAGCCAGCACACAGACCAGTGCCCATATAGGATCCTGAAGACTGAAGAGGGACAATTTGCAAGTTGAGACATTGTGCTGGGCCCTAAATAAACATTTTTATAAAGAAACTACCGTGTGCTTTTTTTCTCTTGCATCACATTGGATAGGTAATATTTTAAAATGAGCAGGAAAAAAAAATTACGGAGTCTTGTTTTCCTGGTACAATATGAGGCCTGGAAACCGAAGAGAATGAAAATGGATTGAATCGTTAAGTAGAAATTAACTAGAAATGATTAGTTTTCAATAACCTTATCATAAAATACGTTCATCTTTTTTGTCTTTGTTTACTAACTTGTGACGTAACAATTGTTGGTGATTGTGCAAGAGACACATCTTCCCTTCACTAGGACAAACTAGATTCCCGCAAATCAAATTGTTCTCAAAAACATCATGAGGCTGAAGGAAGAAATTTTATAGACAGGAGAGAATCATTTCAATTAATCTGTCAGATGAGAAATTCCAGTAAAAATAAATAAGCAAAAGAAAAAGCGGAATCAAGTGAGTAAGACTCTGTTCTGAAACCTGTATGGGTAATCCTGGATTCCTTGTAAGCCAGGGGACGTGATGTGCTTTAGCTGTTTCAGGACAGTCGTTTCAGCTTCTGTCATCTGAGATAATTCATCTTCTGATTCTGGGAAGTCGGACCACACAGAAAATAAAAGATACAGATGTGTGCGTGTGTGTGTATATACATACACTATATATATAACGATTGTGCTAATGAACTGAAAGCTGTTTGCCTTTGTGGTTTAGAATTTTCACTCAGTAGATCAAATTATGTTTATTTTGAGCTGAGCTTACAGAATGCACTGCTCTATTCACTGTGCATAGATGTTGAGGGTCTTGCTTCTGTTAGACATTGTTATAGTCGGTGCTGAAGACAAGTCTTGAATACCACAAGAATTTTTGACTTCATGAAGCTTAAATTTTATCCAAACAACTGCATACATAAATTAGGAATTACATAGTTCAGTGTATTTTTCAGAGTTTTAAAAAAAAAGTTGATAATCTATATGGAGATACTCAAGGTATGGACATCTCAGTTGGGAAAGAGTTTGTGAAAAAACAAAACTTGAAATCTCAATTTTACTCTGACAACTTTGTTCTAGAGCTTTCCAGCGACTCTCAAAATAAAGATTGTTCTCATTGCAATGTATATTGAAAAGACTTGTGACACATATAAATGATAACTTTTACATGATATTTAGATATTTTAGTACCAAAGATTTGAAAAACACTGGGGCAGGCAAAAATCAGTCCTCAGGAACATAATATAAAATATGAGATGTTTATAGAAAAGCATTATACAGGATAATTCAAAAGTCTGTGTTATATAGAAAAGCTAAATTTAATTTAGTGTTAAAAAAAACCTTAAGATCCATGAATATGAGAAGTCTTCAATGAATTCATGAGGAATGCATATCATAAATAAAGTATACATGAGTCTCAAGACATTTGGCACCAAAATAAGCTTCTTTTAATTGTAGTTTTCCCATGAACCTTTTGAACTACCCAGATTCAATGAAATGGGCTCTGAAGGTCAGTAGGCTAAGGTCTTAATTCCATTTGGCTGCATTGTACTTGAAATATGTAAATTTAATCTGATTTTGGCCCAGAAAATTCTGACTTTGTGATTTACAACAAAAGTCAAATAGGTTTGCTGGTCTTTTTTTCTACCCTTTGTCAGTTTCAATTTTAGCTGAGACTCTTTACTGATGGGATGTTGTGAGTTCTGACTGAGAGTGCATGTACCCACCTCCTAGGCTGACCTCCATCATTAGCTTGGGTCAGGACGGAGCCGGTTATTCCGGAAGTAAGTTTCCATAGCATGCTTCCTCGTGTTCACTTTAAAAACATCAAAATCAGTAACACTTTCCATTGTTTTCTATCAAATCAAACATGGGGTTTCTTGTTCACTATTTGCGGATTAGTTTAAGATAACCTCAAATGTCTATTTTGACTTTCAGTTCAAGTATTTTAGTATTTCAATGTTCCAGAAGAATTCAACAACTGGTAATATAATATTTTTTAAAGTTTTATTGATCTTAAGATTTAATGTTTTTAATGTACTTAATAGTAAAAATAATTCAGTAAACTCAACGGTGACTTATTTGAGAGCAGAATAAAGGGAAATTCAATAATACAAAATGATTGTGTAGACTGAATGCATAAGATTTAAAGTGGAGTCTCATTATAATTGCTTCTACCTCTCTAAGAGATTACTGGTTTTCTTAATTTGAAATGGTTAATTTCCCTTGGGACTCATAAGTGTAATCTGTTGTTAACTCTGTAACTGATAATCATAAACTGCTCAGCCTTACTTTTCTAAGAAATTAAATCTTTGCTCTTTTTAGTGTTTTGGATACCTTTTTACATGTTTCCAAAAATATTATTTATTTGTGAATCTTCTATAATTTTTATTTTATAATTGCCTTTATTTTCTTCATAATTAAACGTAAGGTGATTTTATTTATAATAAAAGACACCAATAGAATAAAATGGTTTATATAGATTTATTTACCTTGAACCTTTCTATGATCTGTTCATCTTTCTACCCGCAAAAGCACAGCTCTGTCACATTTACCTGTATTAAAATGCTGCCAGTAATTATTTTGTGCACTTGTTGGATGCCAGATGCTGTTAGCTCCTTTCATAATTTCCATGTTAGTCTCACAGACATAGTGAGATCTTTTTTTTTTTTTTTTCATGGCACTCATTTTAAAGATGTGGTAACTGAACTCAGAATGATCAAGTAATTTACCGAGGGCACATTTGTACTAGCAGTTTTGAATTTGAGCCAGTTTTCTGTTTCCAAAGTGGAAATGCTACACCTAGGTTATGCTGCCTGGCATGCACCTACAAATTCATTGTTATTAAACAACCAGGTGGGACAGGATTTTGTGCAGTGCTTAGGAGCCCACTTTCCTGAGCCCTATATCCAAGGGCTGGATTTGCCTCTGTGCTCTCTGGGCCAGGTTCCTGTCAGCGCTTACCTTGAGAGGCAGTGGGGGATGACTCAAGTCCTTGGATCCCTACCACCCATGCGAAAGACCTACATAGAATCTAGGGCTCCTGATTTTCATTTGGCCCAGCCCTTGCATCTAGGGTGGAAGGTCTCTCTCAAATAAGTAAAAGAAAACAATAAAAGAAAATACGCATCTCATGCACACTCACATTAAGAATTTGATTTCATGGGGCTGGCACTCTGGCATAGCAGGTAAAGCCACGGAAGTGCCAGTTTGAGCCTCAGCTGCTCCGCTTCACATCAGCCTGCTGTTGGCGTGTCTGCACAAGCAGCAGAGGATGGTCTGAGTGCTTGGGCCCCTAGTCCAATGTGGGAGATCCAAATGAAGCTCCCGGTTCCTGGTTTCAGCCTAGCACTTGTGGCCATTTGGAAAGTGAGCTTGCACATGGAAGATCTTTCTCTCCCCTCCCCCCATTACTCTCACTTTCAAATAAGTAGGTAAATCGTTAAAAATAATAATATAATTTTGCTCCATAAAATTGCTTTTGTTTGGCTGTTTCAACCTTTACTACCCAAACTTTTCATGAAGGGTGCTATCTCTTGCCATAAACTGTATTGCCGGAGTCCAGCTCCAGCCGAGTTCTGAGCTCGGGACGGGTGCATGGAGTTGGCGATAAAGAAAGACGCGGACACTGTCACCTGGTGCTCTCTCACAACAGTTCAAGAAGCTGTCCTTTTTTATTTTCTCAGACACATCAGAAGCTTCTACACAAACTACTAATTGTTCTATTTTTACTTCAAGACTAAGGGGGCATGTACAAACATTTGGTCATTCTGTCTGCACTTCAGGGCTAAGCAGGTGCCCCTAAAGATAATTCTGAAAATACTGTATTCATATTCTTCAAAGCAAGCCATTATTCATTCTTCAGTAGCAGCCATGGGGCTACAGCCAGGACTCCAAGGCCAAGGCGCATGCTAATCAGTAATACATTCCTACCACATTTCTATTTCTTCAACTTGTCCCCATCATTTAATGGGAGAAATAATTACAAGGGAAAAAATGTAAAAATCCAAGACAAAAGTTTCAAATATTAAATTCCTCCATGATTACAGGCTCTATAACCCCATAAACAATCAAATAATAATCAAAAGTGTATCTCTATGATATTAATAAAATCACCCTATAATTCCTTTAGTTAAAAAAAATTACAAAAGCAGCTAAAACAGCTACATTTTCTATGCTCTAAAGAGTTGCAAGGACAGGCTAATCTTTAGGGTCACAGTAGCTATATTTTTTACCATAGCAGTTTCAGTTCATACTCCCATTCCTTTCATTAATATTTAGGATATTTATCGAGTCCTTTCCCAGAAGGTGTGCCTCATGTCTGGTCCAGATACCAGGGCAATGGGTAGGCATGCAATAAGGTGTCCAGAAATGGCATGGGCTTCATTGTACTCCTGTGCATAGTTAAAGGCCCACTCACCAAGACATTATCAGTGACATTAACTTTCAAGCTCGCATTGGTTGCAAAACCATCTCACAGGAGCAAACAACAATGTCTCAATAGACTACATAATTCTTAGTGGGGTGCATGAGTGTCCATGCAAAAAGAGGGTGAGACTGCATCAAGGTGGTCAGAGAGAAATCCGCCGGCCCCTTTCAAACAGCTGGAAGCTCCCCTGGGTCCTGCCAAACAGGGAAGCTGTTCTCTTCACACCTTCATGTCATCCACACCTACTGCATGGTCCCCAGCACCGTAACATTAACCATACCATTTATGCATAAGGTACAGAATACTACAGAGCACAGTGTTAACAGATTTGTATCAGCATTGTGCAGGTAATTCATGATGTATTGCAGTGAGGTTTTCTTTCTTGTGAGTTCTGAAACTTGTCTCCCTGTTGTACTTTCTGTGCTTACCTACACATTTTTATCATGGTTGTAGCTCCTTCAAAATTAACGCTTGGTTTCAGTTTAATGTTACACTATTCATCACTCAATTAGAAGAGAGTTTCTATATAGCATTTTAATGTAGTTTGGGATCCAAAACTTCCTCCTGGGCCCCTTCCTTATGGAGTCTGCCCATAGGAATTGGATTTGAGTAGAGAATTTGGTAAAGACAGGGCTGTGTTTTTGTCTCTAGGAATGAGGAGATTCATGGAGTGAAAGGATAGACATGCGATGGGAAAACATAACAGCAATGAATAGGGATGTATTTGCGTGGCTGGAATTTTGTTCCACAAGGGATTTAGCGTTGTACTAATTCATTGAGAATTGTTTCAGAACATCCTTTGCTGTATTTTTGGCTCTTTTATTCTTCTCATCTCATACCTAGCTTGCCACCCACACAGTGATTCTCATGCAACGAGGACTCTTTATAAGCAAACTGGGTGGAGTGTTTTCCCACCACGTCATCTAAAATGAAAAATGTTGTCAGAAACACTCGACAAATGAAAGGCGCAAACACTATGACTTTATTGAAGACTGCTCTGCAAATAATCAAGCCAGAAGGACAGAGTTGTTCAGTGTTCTAGGCAAGAGAGACGAGATCGTTGCTATGAACTAGAGATTTCTATCGATTTTGTGAAGTCCCAACTTCTCTAAGCCTGTTTCCTTATTTAGAAAAGGAGCAATTACAGCAATATCAGTCAAAGAAGGACATTGTGAGGTTGACATAAATTTATAACAGAAAGTATTATGGGTGCCATTTTGCACACAGTAAATATTCCATGAATGCTGTTTTTACAATAGTGAGTAACAAATGGGCTAGAAGAGAAAGATGTGGAACATTCCTCCCACATACACTGCATCTTCAGTTTATTCCATGAGACATGCAATTACAATTATATGAAACATTTCACCTGCATATATAATCTGCATAAAATGTTTGAGGTTTACCTTTCTCCATTTCTTTTTCTTTACTGATCTGACTGCAGATCAGGAGGAAGAGGATGGGTAAGGTGCAAACTCTTGAGAAGAATGGACAACATGATATCTGTAAGATGAGACTACATCAAGAAAAGTGAAAATTTCTGTTACTCCGACACTTGATGAACCAAGGAAGCAAGCTCCAATGTGAAGCTCACACAAGAGGGGTGAGGAATTGTCAGGCCATAACTCTCTAGCTTGGTAAACACTTAGCTGCCTCATTATTTTCTAAAGCTACTTCTACTTTTCATCTATTTACTCTGTATCTGATTTATCGTAAAATGTATTCAGCCTCTCTACTGAATCTTTGTATCTTTTGAACTCTTGACTCCTCCCTGCCTCCCTTCACCCATGCAACCTCTGGTACCCACCATTGATGATTTCAGCATCAAAACAAAAGGAAAAAAGGAATTAAAATATAAGCTTCCTCTTTCTTTAAGGTTTATTTATTTTTATTGGAAAGTTAGATATACAGAGAGGAGGAGAGATAGAGAGGAAGCTCTTCCATCTGACAATTCACTCCCCAAGTGGCTGCAACGGCCGGAGTTGTGCTGATCTGAAGCCAGGAGACCAGAGCCTCTTCCAGATTGTCCATTCAGGTGCAGGGTCCAAAGGCTTTGGGTTGTCCATGACTGCTTTCCCAGGCCACAAGCAGGGAGCTGGATGGGAAGTGGGGCATCTGGGATTAGAACCAGTGACCATATGGTATCCTGGCATGTTTAAGGCAAGGACTTTAGCCACTAGGTTACTGCGCTGGACCCTTATAACCTTCTTTTGATGTAAATGATTTTCTGAAGTCAGGTGTGGTTTTTTTTGTAGATACGCATTTCCATGAACTTTTTTAGAAACCCTTATACATGTGAGATGAGGTAGCATTTGTCTCTATGGTTGACTCATTTCACTTAGTATACTGTCCTGCAGTTGCATGTATGTTGTTAGTAAGGATAGAATTTTCTACTAGTTTTAAAGATACAAGGTATCCTAGTCCAGCTGTAGTATGCACACATACGTACAGATACTTACATACAATCCATCTATTGGTGATGAACCCTGAGGTTGATGACATGCCTTGGTTATCGAGAACAGTGGTGCATTGCCTATGGGGACAGACATGGCCCCTGGAGGTATTAAGTTCTATCCCTTTGGCTCTTTAACCTAATCTTATAATCATAGGGCAGGGTTTTTTTTCCTAATTTTTTAGTGGTATCATAATACATTTTCCACAAAGTTTAAGCTAATTCACATTTTTAACATAATTCACATTTTTAAGCTAATTCACATAATTAACATTTTCTTGGTAATTAATGTTCTAAGATGAAATCATATCTCATTCTGATTATAAATCAGTTTCCATTTTTATTCACAATGAAAAGTTTTAAGTTACCAGTTGACAATTTGAATGTCTTCTTTACCATATCATTTTACAGGTAAAATAAGAGAGAGAGAGAGAGAAATATAGATGGAGGGCTCCTATCTGTTGGCTCATTTTCCAGTTCCCAAAATGGGTGGTAATGGGCCACAGTGGAGAACCAGAATCTCCATTGCTTTTCCCACTATTGAGGCAGGAGCACAATCACTTGAACCATAATTGCTACTTGGCAGGAAGCTGGGGTGGTGAGCTGCAGCAGGCACCCAGTCTGGAGTGTGGGCGTCTTAATTAGCCCCTGAGAAGCCCAGCCTAATGAGTCTTTGGAGGTAATATGGTTCAGGTCCTTTTCCTGCTTTTAAATCAGATTATTTTCTTGATGTTGCATTGTGTGAGTTCTTTTCTTTTTTAAAATGTTCATTACTTATCAGATATATGGGCTTGCAAATAAATTTTCCCACTACAGTTTATTATTTCTTTTGCTACGTAGCAGCTTGTTAGTTTGAAGAAATCCCATTTGTCTATTTTTGCTTTTATTGTCTATTTTCAGTACCATAACCATAATATCTTCATCCAAACTCATGTTTCTCTCTCTCTAACAGTTTTACTATTTTTATGATACATTTTTTAAAAAAGTTATATTTATTTTATTGCAAAATCAAATACATACACAGAGGAGGAAACACAGAGAAGAAGATGTTCCTTCCGATGATTCAGTTCCCCAGTGACAGCAATAGCTGGTGCTGAGCCAATCCAAAGTCAGGACCCAAAGGTGCAGGGTCCCAAGGCTTTGGGCTGTCCTCCACTGCTTTCCCAGGCCACAAGCAGGGAGTGGGATGGGAAGCAGGGCTGCTGGAATTAGGACCAGCACCAGTATGGGATCCTGGCATGTTCAAGGTGAGGACATTAGCCACTAGGTCACCATGCCAGACTCTACGATACATTTTTGTAGGTTTAGTGTTTCCCCCTTGCCTGCTCCTTTCTTGGTCTTCATTTTTACCCCCATATTATTATAGTAGAATAGTCCTTTAGTAACTGTCATAAGTTAACACTCTGCTATTTTAGTGCATCATAAAATTTTAGGTATAGACGAAGTTAGAAAATCTAGTAGCATTTTGACAGTATATGTTCAGCTGTTCCCATGGGAGTTTTTTTGTTTTGATTAGGGAGTAAAGATGCTTACTGCAAATGGTACTGTCACATGTGTTACCTGTGCCCCCTTTCATATAACTAACATACACTACAAAGCCTGAAATCCCCCCTGAAGAATACCTTTCAGTAGGGTAGTTCTCCCTTATCCATACCTGTATACTCCAGAATCCATCATTGCATGGTTGGAACTGCAGATAATATCAACACACACACACACACACACACATTGGATTTCCCCAATGGGAATAATTCATGATCCTTTTGGACATTTTGACTTCGAGAAAGCACTTTAAGGTTTCTCTTTGACATATACAAATTTGCATAAATTATTACTTTGGGGCTACCGTTATGCTAAATGTGTTAGTTGAACATAAGCATTGTGATTCTGCAGCAATTATCTGTTAACCACAATGTCTACCAGAACGGAGATGTAGGTGGTGTTCAGTATGCATGTGTTGGGCTAAGGGATGACCCAAGCCTGAGACAGGATGTTGCAGACTGCTGTGATATTCCACAATGCCACTCTTAAATGGTGTACAAATGAACAGAGAAATTAGTGATTTCTGGACATTGCTATTTACTACTGTCACACCAAAAATATGGAAAACAAAACCATGGGGAAGGGTGGGTTCTTGGATATATTTTCACAGTTCATTATCTTCAACTTCCAGAAATAAAACATTTTCCTAGGAAAAAAGGAAAGACAATGTAAAGCAGCAGGCACTAAATTGTTTTCTAAAGAGCTGAATGGGAAGCATGTTAGGCTTCTGTATAGCGCAGTTTCTGTAGCAATTACCCATCTATGATATTGTAAATATAAAAGAGGGCTTACATTACATGTAAATAAGTGAAGTAGCTCTTCTGAGAAAATTTTATTTCCAACCATAAGCAGTGACTCTAACTTGGTCTAAAGGCTATATACTTATATTACGTGGACCCTAGTTTAAAACATCCTGGAATTTCTATTCCTAAGCACTGTATCTCTATACAAAAATAATTGTATAAATCAAGCCTTCATTAGAATAAAATTTATTTGTTTGTAGTTTAGACTTTTGGGATAACTTTAAATTTTATTCAAATTTCTTTCACCCAGATACTAAATGGAAGCTTTCTCTCCTGAGGCAGTGTTCTAAGCCTAGTGACTAAATCCTTGCTTTTCATATGCCAGGTTCCCGTATGGGCACCAGT